TTTTTTATTTTCTGCTTCTTTTGGGGACCAGTTCAGTGACTCTTACTATCCTGGGGGAGCAGGTCGTCCAAGGACATAATTCTTTGCTTAGTTTCCATTTTCAAGTTTCTCATTAAACTATGGGGAGATAGCCTAAAATCCACAGATGGCCACAGGGGCATAACACGTATATAATCTAGTCATTCAGGTGACTTCAAGGGGGCACATTCTTTAGATAATTTGATATGGAAGAAGCTGCCATGTCTGGGGACTCCTCCGAGGTGACTGAGACAGAAACTTGCTGAACTTATCAGGCAGATTACTTCTCGGAAGGCTTGCTGGAACTCTATAAAATGACCTATTTGTCTTCAGGCAAAATGGGTATTTGTCCCGGAGGGTAATTTCATTTTGACACACTTTGAACATAATAACGGAGGAGGATTTTGGTATCTGCATGAAAAAAATAAAATGATTGAAGGTGGAGGTAGAAAGTCTAAGAGCAGGAGTATGTCCATGGTCAGGCAATCGGAGGGACTGGAGATGAGTGACAACCAGGACCCGGAAAAGGGAGGATGGTGTCCAAGTCAGGCTGAGGAAACATCTGTCGGACTTACAGTCAGCTGAATATGAAACTGGGAGAATGAAAAAGTTGACTCAAAGATGGCTCTACAAAACCTGGGCAGAAGCTATTTTATACTAAATAAATATTAACCCATCAGTTAGAAAGCTCATTTAACAGACGTTCGACTTTTGTTTTTTTCTCCCCTAAAATGAAAATAATCCATTTAAGTAGAGCAATTAGTAGTTTGCTTTCATGGTTATGACGAGCCTTTTAAACAGTGATCTGTTTGACTTTTAAATAGCACAACTGCATAAAAGATCATGCTTGGCAGTGATTTCATTAGCTACTCCTACTGGAAGGAAGCCAAGCTACTCAGACCCCAGCCCATATCCAGGTTACTACACCTTCCTGGCAATGGCTTGTCCTAATTAAGTATCAGGAGGCACCCTACTGCGTGACAGCCCAGTAAACTCAGCTTTGTAAGGTGTGTAAGCTTCACAGAGAAAGAAACTCTGTACTTGAGATCCATAGGAGTCTAGACGAGTCTCTGGGCTCAGGTAGGTTCCAAGCTTCATGGAAGGTAACATAAACAATGACAAGACCTCATGGTCCTAGATTTTATGACATGGGCATCAGAAAATGCCAAGTGCAACTGAAGTGCTGTGTAGTAATAGAACTGAGCTTAGTAACAGTAGAAACAATGAAGACATGAAAATTCTCTGGTACCTTATCTCTGTCTTAGTTGATGTTAACTATACATGTACAGATGATTAGCATGCTTCTAAAATGTTTTCTCTTTTTTTAAACCTATGCAATATATGTATGTATAGTATGTATACACATACATGTATACAAATAAATGTATTTCTATGTGTGTGGGGTGGGCTGGCGTATGCAGAGAGTATTTCTGACATGACATTCAAGCGGCAATGTTTAAATGTTTATCAGGTTAACACTATTGATCTCCAGAGGACATGAGTGACTCTGCCTGTGATACTCTTCCACGGTCTTAGAACGTTTTATAAACAGCAGGTTCTAATTGTACAACTGAAAAAAAAAATCTGAATATTTTAAATTAAGCTGACATGTAAGAAAATATAACTGCGGCCCCCCATTTTCTAAGGCATGGATCTTTCGAGATTCTAGTAAATCCATTTCAGAAAGCCTTTCAGCAAAGAAACTCTCACTGGGTTCAAATGAAAATTAACTACCTGTTGAGTAGCTTCCAAGGCAAACAGATCTGCCCAGGACAGGGAGCAGCTGGGGATGCGAGGCTGCCCATCAGTCACCCCAATTTCACAACCATGCCTGCCAGCTACGTTCTGTTTCAGCGATTGAAGGGGTTTTCAGTTGTAACCTCCACAGAGGTACCCAGAGCTCTCAAAGTGAAATCCCCAGCCTCGCTGTGTCTTTCTTTCTTGACTTCTGTGCCTTGTCACGTCTTTGACTGGGTTCTCTTTCACTAACTGTGTAAAACTGGAACACAAGTCATCAAAAATGACTGCCTTTAAGGTTATGTATCATGCTGTCTTTTCTTAATTCTCCATTTCTCATCCCTCTATCAGCCTAACCTAAAAATGGAACCCAAAGCTGCAAGGGTCCCCCTCAAAGGCCTCTTCTGAGCCAAACACAGGAAATGTCAGCCAAGCAGGTTTTGTAGAAAATGGTATTTCTACAGGTATATAGTCTTACATCTTTTAAATTCAACTTATGTGGCTTTTCAGACCAGGGCCAGATTCCTTGCTTCTATACTTCCTGAGGACCCATTAAAAGGGGAATCCTATATACCTAAGCTGAGTTGAAAACTCCTGGACTGTATGGTCTTAGCTCCTTCTAAAGCCCAGGACTGCCACATGCAACGATCAATTAAAAATGAAAATGCTAGAGGAGGTAGACGTAACGTTGAAATTATTAAATATGCAAGTGTTTTGTTAAATTTTTACTCTTTTGAGGGGGGAGTGGGTGTTTGCTTTTTCAAAAAGATATTTGCCTTGGTCATGTATCATTCTCCATCCATAACTTAGGACTTGAATACTACTTCTTTTTGGTCTTGTTTTGAATGATTTCCAAATGTTCCAAGACCCCCACCACAGTCAGTACGTCATCTATTTTTATTCCAGGGACTGACTTGTGACTTCCATTGGAGTTATTTGAATTGGCCCACAGCCACCTGTACCCTAACTTTTCTCGGGCTGCTTTGAAGCGTTGCAGAGAAATACGAGCGGGCATTTGGTGAAAACAGTCCTCCATCCCAGCATGGCAGCTGGGTAAGTGACTGCTGCCAGGTTCTCGGCTCAGTCTGGGGAATGGAAGGCCCCGTTCAGGGCCAGCTTTCGGTCTGTCTGAAGGATTATATTTCTGTCATCGCAACATCTCCTCGACAGTCCCAGCCACTGAAACACTCCCAGCAGAAGCCCTGTGATTAAATTCTCCCGGAGCATAATTTTTTCCAGCTTCTGGAAACAATCTACTGCTGTCTCTCCTCCCCCTCACCATAAAACCCCGAAGACAGTTCCATTTCCAAGGCTGGTGCATGGAAACAGATTACTCGCAACCAACCCTTCCTCCCACGGCGGAAACTGATTCCAGCCATTTGACTTTGAAACGACCACGGAGAGACTTCATCCCCATCCACCGCCAGGCTGTGCCTACTTCGTAGTCTATCATATCTGTTCTTCCACGATGATACGTGACCGAACTGCGGTTCGGATCAGCAACGCCCGCCCCTGGACCTTTCCATTAAGAGCAGAGAAGCAAGCACGTGTGTTCACATGCAGAGACAGGAAAGAACCATGTTGCTCAGGTCTAAGAGCAAAACGGAGGAAAACTCAGAAAACCCATGTTTAATGCAAAGCAAAACCTTGGATCACCCACTTCCGTTCCTGACTGACCTCCAAGTCATGTAGACAGTTTCACCAAAAGTTAGAAGATCTTTTTCTCCTAATATTGCAATGGTCACCACGTCCCTAATAGAGGCACCTGTAAGGAGCAACTGATCTGCGACAGGACTACGAGTTACATTTCCACTGCCAGAGAGACATCCCCGGCGGTGCCCAGCGGGTTGCACTAAACGTTCAGGTAGAAGAAAACAGAGAAAAGAATAGATTTCCCCGTACATCTTAAAATGGGGCTATAGTGCAATCAGGTATGGCCTTGGGACCTGACAAGGAAGAGGTGAGGCATCCATCGGAAAGGGCCGAGCAGCCTACAAACCCAGGAGTGACATCCACACGGCAAAGCTTTGTCCTTGGCATGGGGCAAACTTGGGGTAATGCAAACCAGAAACTTAGAAGGAAAACTTAAAACAGGCCGCTCTCACCGCGGTGCCCAAAGTCTGTACTTATTAGCCTCCGTGCAAAATTCCAGTGGCTGTTCTCTTACTTAAGTGAGTTATTTTGACATATGTTGCTACTTTTGCTTCTGCTGTTTTATTTCAAGTCCATTAGCCTGGTTTCCATTATCACTGAAAAAAAAAAAGTCTAGAAGTCCACGCTGGCAAAGAGCTCCATTTCCTGTGACCACAGTTCCCACACAGGGTTTTCTGCTCCGCCGTTGAAACAGCACTTAAAGCCGAGAGCTTCTACAGATAGCTACAGGCCTTGGCTTAATCCCTGGCTCATCTCTATGGCGGCAAAAGGCAGAGATGGCTACGCACAGGCAGTACGGAGCTGTCCAAACAGCCCAAGCTGAACCTGGCCTCTGTGGCCATGGCTAACGGCCCGCGACCTGGGCCAACCCCTGGGTTACCTCTCTGAGGTCCCTCTGAGAACAGGCGACTCCTGAGAACATGCCACCTCACCACAGCTCAGAGATCCAGTGCACAAGTTGACATTATCCATGTGGCACCTCCCAGCTCCTAGATGATGAACAGGGATTGGGGAGGGAGGGGCGACATGCAGAACGCCACTAAGTTGTCCTGGTAGATTTCGTCTTGGCAATGGATGCGGTTTTAACAGTTATAGTTCTGCAGGACAACCAGAGGGTTTTCAAAGACCTTCAGACAGGCTTGCGGTCTTCAAAGGCTGAATGCAAAGAGGACAGATCGTATCGCATCTTTTTCAATTGATGGCTAGTTCCAGGAGAACGGTGGAGGGCAGGGGGAGGGGAATGCATGGGGAGAAGGGAGCAGTGCCATTTACAGGATCATCCTTTGAATCTTGAAAATAAATGATACAGGTGAACACACAAGTTCATGCTACTTGCTGGAAGCGATAAGGATCGAATTCTGTGGAACTCATTTTCCACCAATCTCCAAGTACCCTGCCTCGTCCTTGGTGGGCTATCCCGTTTGGTTGTACATCTTGGTAGCCCTTAAAAACTGGTGGCATGGTCTCAGATAGATTCTTGCAGGAGAGAGACAAATTTATGGATTCCATCAGCTTCTTCCAGGGAGCTACCCGATCGCCGGGAGGGCACAGGTGATATGCCCGCTCAGGTTCTCTTTGCCCGTCTACCAGGGTCAAACAGTTGTTTCCAGGTCTTCATGGCCAATGATCTTATAGTTCTGACGGCTTTCTAGGTAAGCAGCCAAATCAGGGTCCCCAGCCTGCTGAGCTCTGTCTTGAGGTGTCTTACCCTGCAGGTAACAGTGAAAAGGAAAGAAACACACACTTGGGATGAGATTTTAAAAATCCACAGAAACAGAGCTATTCAACGATTACTCACTAATAAGGATCTTTTCATGTTAACTGTGCTAGAGTTCACAAGACACTTTCCAATCTATCATCGGATAGAAGCATTATGTAAGGTAGGTAAGTTCAAGACAAAGAGACCATCACTTTAGTCAGGTGGATTTTCATCTAAGGAAACAGAGGATCACAGAGTCTAGCTGATTAAAGAAATCTTGGAGAAGTAGAAAAGCGTCAAGAGAAAGTAAAAATGGATTCCACTACACCAAGATAACCATTGTTAATCTTCTGTAGAGTAACCATTTTTTTCTATAGCTCTGTGAATAATTATTTTTATCAAAATTAGACCATACTTTATTTATATACTGTTATTTAATGTGCTTTTTCACTTAATAATAAATTAAACCACCTGGCTGCTGTGGCTCAGTGGTTGAGCATTGACCCATGCACCAACAGGTCACTGGTTTGATTCCCAGTCAAGGGACATGCCCAGGTTGTGGGTCCAATCCCCAGCAGGGGGCATGCAGGAGACGGCCAATAGATGTTCTTTCTCATCGATGTTTCTAGCTCTCTCTCCCTCTCCCTTCCTCTCTCTAAAAACTAAAATCAATAAAGAAAAAAATTTTAAATATATATATCAAACATTTTATGTCATTAAGTGCTTATATAATGTCCTGAAGCCTAGTCTAATGCTGTATGTATATTTGTATGCACACCCCCCCACACACAGGCATGCACACATGATATTTTTTTAAATTAGGCCAATGAATGGAAATCAGCAATAAAAGGAGAGAAGGTGTCACTCTTTTGAGTGCTTATGAATATTACTTAACACTCCTTGAAACTTCGAATTTTTGTTCAATAATATACTTTTATCTATCCATCTATTATTTATTTATTTATTTATTTATTTAATATTTCACTGACTTTTTTAGAGAGAGAGGAAGGGAGAGAGAGATAGAAACATTGATGTAAGAGAGAAACATTGATTGGCTGCCTTTTGCACGCCCCCTACTGGGGACTGAGCCCGCAACCTGGGCATGTGCCCGACCAGGAATCGAACTGGGACCTCTTAGTCCATTGGACGATGCTCAATCCACTGAGCCACCACTAGCTGGGCTAGTTTTATCTATTTAAATAAATGATGTTAAATTCTAAGAAAATAGAAGAGGCACAATCAATGTACTAAAGAAATAGCTCTATGTACAAACACACATGAGAACGACAAAAATGATCAGAAGCTTCAGCCTGCATCTCAGGTATCATAATGGATAGTATCAACCTCAGTTAAGCCCGTTCCCAGTAGCCTCTGGGAGTATGCAGTGCAGAGGACAAAAAGAATACACCAGGGGCTCTGGACTCTCTCTAAAGTAATATTGATCCACTAGCTTAAAGTTACTATAGTAATTTTATTCAACTTGTTTACAGTATTAGTAGACTATCTTGTCTTTACCTCAATATTAATGAGGTTGGAACTCCTATAGCTTCTAAATAAACATTCAGGGCGATGAACTGGGGTGGGCCTTAGAGATTATTTTTAAGAAACTGTTCTCTATTAAGAGAAATTCTCAAGATACTGCTTCTCTCCAAAAAAGTCTAGAAGATTCAGTTGGAAGGATCGTATCTGATGCTCTCACCTAGCGTCAGATTACCAAATGGAAAAGCAACGGATCCCTGAAGAGAACGAAGCATAACTATAGTACTTGATCTGATCAGATCTCTACAACACAATGTTGGGTGAAGACTTGAGTTATACAATAGCATGTGCAGAATGACTTTGCCTACTCAAGACAATGAGAGAAAAACAGACATACCAACACTTGAAGTGAGACCATTAACATTTTAATAGTATATAGGTCTAGACTGTGAATTTTTCTGGTTATTTTTACTTTTTTTGTATTTCTTTGCATCGCTCACGTTTTCTACGTGAGCATGCACTCTATTTATAGTCATAAAAATAATAAAGTTGTTTATGTTTTGGAAAAAACAAAGCATGCACACTCATAACACAAAATAGGAAGAAATCTCAAGGGACATGGAACCCATTGATCTGATCCAGGAACTTGGAGATAAAACAGAGCAATCTGCTCAGGGGCTCGGTCTCCTGCCCAGCCTTTCGTGTGTCCCTCTAGTTCACGTTGATCCCTGATTTCTTTTCATTGCCTGAGTTGAGCAGAAGACTTGTCCTTTATGTGGTAACCAGCCAACTGCCCTGCTGTGTTGTGAGTGGACCCAGCAAGGCCAACTCCACCCCAGGTCACGGCCTCCTCTGATCCCACCCACTTTCAGGTTGCACATCACAGCACCCCGGTGCAAATATTCGCTGGGAAGACTATCACACTGAGCGATATCCGCTATTCAAAACTGCACCCCCAATTAGCTAGCCAGACAGATAACAGGTCAGCCAGAAACCAGGACACAGCTTAACGGGTATGAAGCCTAGGGAGGCAGCCCAGGACCTCAGTCAGGGGCAAGGATCTGGGAGGGGGCAAGGGGGAACTGGGGGCAAGGGGGAACTGCACCATGACTGACTCAGAACTGACTCAGAAAGGAAAGAGGTCCAACAAGAGAGTGATTTCCCAGCATGCACTGCAGCGTGAGCAAATGCCATGGGGACATCTGCACGCGGCAGAGGCTCGTCACTCAAACAAGTCGAAGGGGCTCACGTCTTTGCCAGGCTTCTGAGCCACTGGCCACATTCAGGGACCCCCCCACGTAGACTACTGGGTACCTGCTGATGAAGTCCTCATCTATTTATATTTAAATTTTTCTCTGCCACCCTCTGCGGTTAAGTGGGTTGTCTTTCCCTGGAGTCTCCCCAGGGCGCCTGAAAATTCTCTGAGCTGACCAGGCTTCTCTACCGGCTTGACCTGTGTGAAGGCTGCTCTCTCTCACGGGCTGCAGCCGAAGGTTAAGGCCACGCAGCTCTGACTCCTCCTCCCTCCCAGCTCTCACCCCTCCCCTCCTGCTCTCAGCCTGGACCGGCTCCTGGTGCAGCCTGGCCTCCCCTCCCGGAAGAGACTGGAATCACTGTGGCGCCCATCTACGGGGCCACATCAACCACAGATTTTACGCTCCACCGGATTAAGCAAGGTGAAGGAGAAATCCCAAAGGGTCTTCTCAAAGGCCAGGACAATGTCTGTGAACACCCCGCTCCTGGGGCTTTGCATCTCAGCCCCCCACCTCTTGGCCGCTGGTATTCAGCAGGCGGAGGACCCCGATCCCAAGGCCGGCGCATTCAGAGGTTCATAGAGCCCATAGGCGAGCACACACCCTCTCTTTGTGCTTATACATTTAAACTGCAGTTTCTCTAAATGAAGCACTTTATTTTTTCCTCCTTTTTCCAAAGCCCCCGGCTCTTCCACAGGCACAGAAAGGACGCCTTGGCTGTGGGCACAGCGAAGGCGGTGGTGCCTGCGATCCTGCCCAGTGGGTGGATGTTTGCGCTCGCTCAGGGGTTACCTTGGAGTCGGTCTTTCTCAGAGATGCTCCCGCGTCCACCAGAAGCTGGCACACAGCCCGGTTCCGCTGGCAGGCAGCCTTGTGCAGCGCGGTCTCACCCCTAAATCAAAGATGGAATGGAAACCACCCATAAAGGGGCTGGGGCGGGGGTGGGGTGGAGGCTGTAGGGAGAGGGTGAGGGTACATCCTACCCCTGCAGCTGAGGCTCTGCTCCTGGGCCTCCTTCTCCAGCTGCGGCTGAGACCCTGGCTGCAGAGAGGGTCCATTTGGGGGGAGGTGGGGGAGGGGGCTAAGAATGCCTTGAGTTAGTCATCAAGTAACACAACATCTCACTCCAGCCTTGTTTTCAACTACTAATGTTTGATTTACGTAAGACCCCATGACACTTGACGTGTGTGGATATCTGAACACTGCAGCAATTCTGTGTGGATACACGTGGGTCAAGTGTGAAGGACGCCAGATGAACACAAGGAGCAGCAGTGGCGAACCGAGGTCCCTCAGACCCATCCCACGTGCTGGGCAGATCCCCATCTGGCCCTTAAAGGAATAACTCCTGGGAACTCAACTTCAAAGAACCAGGCCAACACTCACCCGGGCCTACCTACTGGACGGCATGCCAGGGGCGGGTGGAAGGGGAGGGGCCGCCACAGAGGATCTGGGGGGCACAGAGAGATGCAGGGAGAACTCAGGAACCAGAGATGTCCCCAGTGGGCAGCAGGCCCGAGGCCAGCCTGTCCGTGTGGGAAGTGGGCAAGAGGAAGGGGCCATTTCTGCCCCTCTAACAGACAGAAAAGGAGGAGGATTTTCCCCTTTGGAATCCAAAATTGAAAATGCCGAAGAGTTTCATGGCAAATCAAATGCGGACCTTAAAGCAGGCCAGTTGGGGTAATGACCACCTGCCCAATAGGACATAGGGTGTGCGGACAAGCTCCAGGTAGCAATCGATACCTTCTTCCGTGGCTGGTAACTCCTGGCTGGTCCCCTGCCCTTCTCCTTCATTCTATTCATTTCTGCTTTTCCTCTGCCACCCCACTTCCACTCCCCTCCACCCCACTGCACCCCACCCATTCTTTACCCCTTCTTTGCATTCCTCTGTGGTTCTATATGGCTTCCAGGGTTAGATGTTTAGCCTTTCTTTGTCCCTGTTGAGGGAGAAGTAGCGATTTTGCTACCTTAGTGGGAACAGAGTTGAAAACCAACATTATTAGTTTAGGGATCATCCCAGGTCCTCATCTGAACCTCAGATCTTGAACGTGATTGGAGTTACCATGTTCTCAGTTCTCCAGGGGTTGTGTCATAGACATTGTTCCGTTTTAAGCTTAGCAAAGAAGTTTCATTACATGTCAACATGGCTTACTGCATTAGGGCTTAATTCTCTCGCAAACCCCAGTTGGCAAAGAGTAAATAAAAAAACAGGTCAATGGATTTGTTTAGAATTCTCAGCAGTCCAAGAGGCATCAGTGCGGAGGTGGCCTGCCTGCAGGAACCCCTGAACCACCATGACCGTGCGTGCGACTTCTACTGCGTAATATTTGATTTAGAAGATTAGCCCTGCACAGTTATAAACACCAGTGAACGTGGATTTTTTTATCACTGACATAAAAATTATCTACCGTATGCCCTAGACACTACACTTTTCTCCTAGATATGATCTGAAGAACAATCCAAACTACGTAATGAAAAGAGACACTCACGTTTCGCTGTCTGCCATATCCAGTAACTCGGAAGGTCCTAAACGAGAGGAAACAAGATGCCCATCAAAAATAAGTTCAAAAAGCTAACTCTTCACAACAACAAAATCCACAGTCACATGAAAGTGCCGTGAAAAGCTGCGTAAGGACGAGGTTTGTAATAGAGATAGCGAGACTTCCTTCCCCCTCTCTCCGCTAAAGACAGGATCCCTCCACCTCCTCCCCGCACTCTGCCAATCACCGCCAGCCCATATGCCAGACTGGCAGCTACAAAACAGAGCCGCGGCCTCCGCCTTCAAGAAACTTCCAATTAAGCTGAAGAAATAAAATAGACTGGAAGAGAATAAGTGAGAAATAACGAGGGGCTGCCACGGGAGAAAGGGGGCCATCGGGCGGGCTTTAAGGATCGTTTCTCATTCTCCAGCGACAGATAGATTGGGGTCAGGTCTGATGCAGTAGAACGGTAAAGCCCCAAGACACAGGAGATATCATGCAGTCCAACGTCCTTATTTTAGAAATAGGGTAAAACTCTATTTTTCACAAAATTTCCCTTCAGAGACCTGGAAGAAATGTTATGCATAAACATCAAATGATAGCTGCTTCATTAGGAACTGAAAATGTCTATGAGTTTGCACAGTCACGAGGTTTGATACGCGTACTAATCAATTCACTCAGTCTTCAGACTCTGCTTGGAATGTCCATCTTGCTGCTGTTTAACCATGGCCCTCCTCCCCAGCCCTCCCTGAATCCCTTACCCTACACAGCCTGTAGCTATCAGCTGAGACCACTTCCTCCATGAAGTCCACTAGGACCCTACTCCAAAGATTGCATTAGATGTCCTGCAAGCATGCTCTGTCACTTGGTGTATTACCCCATGTCCTATAATTGGGAAATTAATACAGCCTAGTCAATGGAGACTATCCCAGACAAGTGCGGATATATACTCACCTTACTGGGCATGACACTGAATCTGTATTAAAATCATTAGCTGATTTCACTACTCACAACTAGATTCTCGAAAACCCCTGAGGTGGTGGCCTATGACCTGCCGACCACCTTGGTGCCTGGCGCAGAGCCTGGTGCCAAGCAGATGCCTAAATGTCTGGTTGAATGAATAAGTAAAACGTCCTTGGAAGTAACAAACATGCTTCTAGGTATAGAGCACTGTGGTCCTTGGAAATATGATCCCGTTGACTTGCTCTCTATATTGTTGGGTGTCTTCAGCACTGAAAATTCACTGATGTGATTACTTATTACATCATCAGATGAAAGAGAAGAGGTTGGGGCTTTCTAATCACGAAAGTCATTGGGCAAGGAAGAGACGACAGGTGTTCCGGGACCCACACAATCCTCCTGGTCACCCAACTGCTAAATCATCACCGTTGCCTCGTCTCTTCCACATCCCCTGTCGTCAAGCAGGCCTTCCCACACATATCTGTCCTCCCTGCTCCCCATCTGCACTCTTTCATAAACAGGCCTCCTCGTAGGTCTCTGCCTGGAACACAGTTAGCATGAGGAAACTGTTACTAGAAAGAACAAAAAGTTCTTGTGCCATTTAGATTTCCAGGTTTCCAATTCATCATATTTATGGCTTACGTCCAAGTATTTCTTTCTTTATTGGGGGGGTCTATTTTTAATTAAACTGATTGGGGTGACATGAGTTAATAGAATCATGCAGGTTTCAGGTGTAGATTTCTATGTTACAAGATCTATACATTGCCCTGTGCCCACCACCCAAAGTCAAATCATCTTCCATCACCATATATTTGGCCTCCATCATCCCCCGGCCCCTTCACCGTGGCGACCAGCACACTGCTGCAGGTCCACGAGTCTCAGTTTTACATCCCACATGAGTGAAGTCATACGGTCTTTAGCTTCTTCTGCCTGGCTTATTTCACGTAGCATCATATTCGCAAGGTCCATCCATGTTGTTGCAAACGGTGGTATTTTGTCTTTTCTTACAGCCGAGCAGTGTTCCCTTGTGCACATGGAGCACATCTTCATTCAAGTCCCAAGCCTTCACTTGGAACGACCTTCCTTCCATTTGTTCCCAAGGTTCCATGTTTTCACATGAGCCCAAGTTGCACCTTCTCCATCACCCACATATGCTCCAGGCTTTCCCAGCTCTGAGGGCTTCTCCACTGTCCCAATGGAGAACAGCTTTTCTTTTCCAGCCTCCTACCTACCGCTTGCACGTTCTTCAAGCCTAGTCCCTGACAGGGTCCTCTGGAAAGACCACCTTCAACGGAAGGAATGTATCCCTTCTCTGAACTCCCACAAAACTTGTTCTGTTCTACCCCTGTGCCATGGATTTGCTTTTGGGTTGTATGCCTTACTCCTTTCATTATTCTAAATCCCCCGAGCATAAGGATACTTTTATTTCTCACATCCCTTGAGAATCTTAAGGATCCAACAAGGATTTAACTCACGCATGTCTGTTCCTCAGACCTCTGGCTCTAAGGAAACATGAATGATAACCCCTCACACACCCAAAGAAGTGCGAACAGTGTAGTGCAGTGGTTAGGAGTGCGGGTTCCAAGCTGAACCTTCAAGGTTAACATTCCAGGTCTACCTGCCACTCACTAGGTCTTGGGCAAGTTCATCTGGTCTCTCAGACCCTTGATCATCACATATGAACAGTGAGATGCTAATATTCACCGCACAGCAGTGCAGTGAGGTTTCATTAGTTAATGCAAGTTACATGCTTAGAACAGTAGCTGGCACATGGCCCGCGCCTCAAGTGTAGGTATTCTGAAGGGTCCGATTCTCTGACGTGACACAGCAGGTCACACCGAGTCAGATGCTGGGACATCAGTGACGGAAGGAGATTGAAAAGGGCCGGACTCCCCCTTACATAGGGAGCCACCGGTGGACTCGAACGACGCGTCCTGAGGACAAGTACCCCAGGTCTATGCAGTCGCCGACAGGACAGTTTCCACCAGGTCGGGAGCAGGAAGGCTGGCCGTGTCCAATGGTCCTTTTGAAGAGCTGCTGTCACCTTCAGCAAACCCCTCCAGCCATTTGTTTTGGAAGGACTTCTGTGAACACCAGCCGCCCTGCCTCAGTGGTTCTGTCCCCATCATGGATGCTAATTGCACAGGTGCTGGGCCTTGGCCAGTCCCTCCTTTATTCAGCACCCTGAGCTGCACCTGCTGCGGGTCCCTGGCTCCAGGGTCCCAGCCTCTGTGCAAGTGAGAGGACCTGGGGCAGTTCCGTCTGCGCTAAAATGGCAACTGTTTGACCCTCTGCAGGTGGAGACAAGGAAGAGAAAGGACCTTGTTCCTGGCCTTCGGCCAAGAATGACCATGCACACAGCCAGCCCGGAGCATGGCGGAGCTGGTCGTACCGTGCGCAAGTATGGCCTGTCCAAGGCTGCTCATCATCTTCCCTTAAAAAATTTTTTTCTTTATTGGTTTTAGAGAGAGAGGAAGGGAGAGGGGGGAGAGATAGAAACACTGATGAGAGAGAACACTGATTGGCTGCCTCCTGCATGCCCTGCACTGGGATTGGGCCCACAACCTGGGCGTGTACCCTGACCGGGAATCGAACCAGTGACCTCTTGGTGCCTGGGTCGGCACTCAGCCACTGAGCCACACCAGCCGGGCTCATTTTCCCTTTTCTCCCTGCATCTTCTGCAGCTGACAGAGGTATGAGAAAGAGGTACCGGTACTAAAACAAAAGAAGTTTGCTCTGAATTAATATCTAAAGACACTCCAGGGAGAGGATTTGGGAATGGCTCTGGCATGATCAACGCAATGCGCCCGACCTTCCTCCTCCGCCCTGCAGCGCGGACCCTGAGCGGCCAGTGGAGGGGAGGGCTGGCCGCGGGCTGGCCGCCGATGCAGCGGGGAGCTGGTCTGGCTAGTGCGGGTGAACATTTTCTAATGATCCTCATGACCTGGTTTAAAACAATGGTGTTTGAGCCCTGGCCGGTTTGGCTCAGCGGTTAGAGCGTTGGTTGGCCTGCGGTCCAGAGAGACCCGAGTTCGGTTCCTGCTAAGGGCACGTACCTCGGTTGCAGTTTGTCCCCAGCCCTGGTTGGGTCATGCAGGTGGCAACCTCTCGATGTGTCCCTTTCACATCGATGTTTCTCTCTCTCTCTCTCTCTTCCTCCCACTCCATCTGAACAAAAAAATGGAAAATTGTCCTCGGGTGAGGTAAATAAATAAAAATAAATGCGTGCCCGGCTGGTATGGCTCCGTGCACCAAGAGGTTTCTGGGTCAATTCCTGGTCAGGGCACGTGCCCGGGTTGCGGACTCGATCCCCAGTAGGGGTTGTGCAGGAAGCAGCCGATCAATGTTTCTCTCTCTTTGATGTTTCTATCTCTCTCTGAAAATCAATAAAAACATTAAAAATACCAATAATGATGTCCGCACAGTGGGGGGGGGGGGGGTGCAGAGGAGGAAGAAGCGGAGCGAGTGCCGGTGTGTTTCCCTCCCTACCTGCATCTTTAATGGCCTGTTGGCAGCTATTGGTAATAGTATGTTGTGCTTAATCGTACCCTGTGTGGTTTAGTGGCATTGGCATAGGATTTGAAGGAGGTAATGGTCAGAGAGACAAAAACAAAAACAAAAAGACCACAACAATTCTCTTGGAAAAAGGCAGGTAATAAGAGCATCTGTGAGTTTAGAAATAGTCATTTGAGTCTCACTAATTCGGGAGAGAACCGGAGAAAGGGAAAATGAAGACAATGGAATTCCTTCCATTTATACCACTAGGGGACCTTTGGGTTCGGGGCTTCTTTTGTACTTTATGCATACACATGTTCTGATTGGGAATACCATGTCATCTCCCCTAAGGATTGGAGGAACACCATTAGACTGTCAGTCGAGAACTCAATTGTCCCCTGAACACAAAAGGGACTCTTGGCTCTCGGTCGCTCTCAGGGTTCACTACCATGTCCGCACTCCATCCCACAGCAACCTGCACCAGAAACCACTCTCAACCCCTGTTTAAGGAGTACGGGTACGACCTTCATGAAATTCCCAGAGAAGGCATTTGCTGTCCTTGGACCTCCCTGCCCCGAATGTCACTGGAAC